ACTAGAACAACATCAACTAAATCAGCGGTTACCTCTACTCCTATCGCATCAGCCTATTACCATTCTGCAACCTATTATCACCTATATCACCTATACATTCAACTTATCCTTAAGAGTAGGATATTGTCCTTCAACCTGGAAGAATTCCATAATCCTTCTCATCCCCAAACCGAACAAAAACCACAGCAATCCAAATAACTACTGACCCATTAGTCTTTTCCCATCATGAGCAAACATATTTGAAAAACTCATCCTTGCAGGATTAAATAAGTACTTGAACAAAATTAATCTCATACCTCCCTTTCAGTTTGGTTTCTACAATAAAGTATCCACAGCGCACAAGCTCTTACGCATCACTGAATACCTTCATATATCATTCCAAAAAACATCACTCAATAGCAGAATTCATTGACATCACCGAGGCATTGGTTCACGTCTGGCACGAAGGACTAATATATAAACTATCGTCAATTGGAACCCCAAAATATCTCTTTAAAACCATTAAATTCTTGCTCACAGACAACTTTTGCACTTGTAATAGAGAACCACACCTCAAAACCACGCCTCATAAGAGCATGACTCCCACAAGGATCCCCCCTCCCCACTGCCATTCAACCAAACTTCATAGCAAATTGAATCCAAACACATCTTCTAACATTAAAAAGCTGGTTCTAAAAATGGAAGATGAAAATCAATCCCACCAAATCAGCCGTTAAAATATTCAGATTCAAACCTTACTCTCCCCCTATCCAATTAAGAAGAAATAATCATATCATTCCGTGGACTCCAATAATAAGGCAGTTAAATTCTTACGACTACATCTGAACACCAACCTCAACTGAAAAACGCACATAAACAACAAAGTTCAGCATACCAAAATTAAAAAAATTCTTCTGATGAAACCGCTCGTAAAAACAAATAAACTGTCTTCAAACAATGCCATCATCGTATATAAATCAATCATCAGTCCTCCCGTACGCCTGTCCAATATGGACAAATGCTGCCAAATATAACATTCGAGAATTGCAAGTCATACAAAACAAATTTTTAAGATCCAGCACCCAAGCTCCCTGGTTCATCTCCAACACGCAACTTCACACCGAATTAAACATCAAACCAACCTCTCACCATATTGCCTATCTTGCCAATATATTTTACTCGAACCCGGAATGAATCAACCAAAGGAGAAATCTCAAACTGGGTAAATATACAGGTCAAACTCAAATAAAAAACAGATATCCGTTACATGCATTCTTGGACATTTTCAGCTGTACAACAGAATAAATCAATTGAGGTGCTCTGTGAGTCCCCTCGTCTGATGTAGGGTAGTGTTAGTAGTAAATTAGATTAAGTTAGATTGCAAGCCAGAAAATGCAAATGTAAAGTTGACATAAACTGAACTTTGTAATTTCATCCAGAACAGTAAAGTATGTTGACTTATGTTCTTTTCGCAACCTGGCACTCTGGCATTTCTTGTTTATTTGCTATTTTGTGGCAATTTGTTTAGTTATACATATACTGCCTATAAAATCCTGCCTAGGCGGTATATCTCTTACCAAACAATTTAACTGGATTTTTAAAGCTAAATTGTAATCATTCTCAAATACATTCGTATCTCGTCAATAGAAATAGAAAGGAACAACTGAAACTGTCCCTTTAGACAAACAATCCCTTTAGCGAGCGATCTAATCACATGGTTGTTGGCCGACATTCACTGTTTTAGTTATTTATTATTTTTTTTAAATTTTACATGATGTATAGTGTTGTGTACTTTTTTCTAATATTTTATTGTATGTTAATCTAATATACGGTTTTCGTGTGTCTAGAGACTGAAGATGGAGGAAATAATCTCCGAAACGTTGTGTGCAGTTAAAATTTTTAAAATAGTGTTTTAAAATGCCATTTTGATATGTCATTTAAAAAATTTAGACACAAGACCAAATTATTGTCAAACAATACATTGACCTGTCACTGATATAAAGAACCTATGTAATTACTATTACCTTTGACAATCTTTAACGCAAAATTTGAAATACATACTATGTAATAGTATAAAGCACATCAGCTGACATTCTCGAAATTTATTTTTTTTACGTTATTAAATACTCTAACTTTCGGTAAGAAGCAAATAACCTTAACGTATAGTTTCATCACCGCAATTCACACTGTTATTTTCCATGTAACTCTCAAATACACCATAATCATTTTCATATGGTGTTTCTTTAGATTTTACTGATCGTAGATTAGCTTTTGTGATAATTTCCGCAGGAACTTTATTATTTCATTTTGTACGAAGAAATCAGTCTAATGATTTTGCAATAGTAATTAGCTACACTGATTATCTGACGTCATAAAGACAAAAGACGATAACAATGCGTATTTTTACTTTAGTCGCGAGAAAAAACTATAAAATGTTTCGAATTCTCGTTTGATTTAGCAACGAACTAGTAAACCACAAAGTTTTGTGTGCACCACGGACCTTACTACTTGTTTTAGCTCCTCAGGAGACGTCCAACCCCGAGTGGCAGAAGTCGTCCTCGGTGTAAAAACATTTACTTTACGCCCTAGATATAACAGTTGATGAATCACTAATCAATCAATCTCTGCATCCAGTCTTCTGCGGTGCCACCTGCCTTCGTTGAGTTCTTTCAGCTGTATGTAAATTGGGGACCAAATAATCCCTTCATCCTTTCTCGAGAAACTTACTTTCTATCTCCATGTAAAATTAGGACCAAACCAACACAAGTAAGAAAAAGGTCTCATTGAGAATATAAGTTCTTTAAAGGGGCTGCCGTCGCTACACTGTGCAGCTTTTCCTTGTGCCTTAGTGAAAATCGTCCAGACTCGCTCGTATATCAACATGAAAAGCAAATAAAGCAATAGAAGAGAATGTAAATTTCATGTTTACTTTGTAGAATATTGGCTTAGAAAAAGGAAGAATATAAAAGTGGAAAAATAAGCAGAATTCATTTAATAAACGAATATTCAATTGAATGAAAACAATCTTAAATCAAAACACATTTCGAAAGAAAAATGCCAGTGCTAAGTCTGGAAAATTGGCAAGGGAGTTGTTTAAAAAATAAGGGCTATTAAAATGCTCTTCGAAACTGCAGTGTCACCTTCCACTTTTACCTGGCAGGGAAAGTGGACCACAAATTTACGAAAGCCCTTTCCTGAGTCAGTCCCCACTTTACCTATAGGTTAAACTGTATTTTGCTTCTGGTCCCCAATTTACATTCGCAGGTTCTTTCGGTCCGTGCGACGACGAGGGCGAGAGGGAAGAGCTGCAGGTGGCCTCCTCGGGTCTGTGCAGAGCGGGAGCACACGGGCGGGAGCACTATCTGTATTGGTGACGCGTTTTATGAGAGCTCCCTGCGACCCGGAATGCAGGGAGCTGCCTCAGCTCTGTCCCACGGCACGTCATCAGGTCGCAGTTCACCTGCCTTGCGCAGGCAGGCTCCCTTAACAATACGGCCCAGACGCCCAGATTGGGGACTGCATTTAACCTAACATTGTAAAACACACTTTTTAGGATAACATTTTGAATCTTTTTTTCTTGCCTGATCAAAAGTAAATATAAAAGTACAGATTGTGCAATTGCATACAGGACGATGTGGTCTAAAGAAATTGGAGCAATCATTCAAGTGGTTCTAAAGTTCTAGTAGTAGATACGAATTTCTTACTTTTACATGCTAGAGCAGGAATCACTTAGAGAAATGAACGAATAATGAACATGTACTATCAAACTAACGTAATATATTTCAACAATCTTAAGAATGGCAGATCGAGATGGTTGGCGTTCCACACTCGTTGGGCGGGCGCGTCGGCGCGCCTACGTGTTTCGTTTCCGCCTGGAGTGGTCGGCGGAGTCCGCGCCCGCCGTCGCCGTGGCTGCGATGAGCGCCGCGCCAAGCCCACCACCGTCCTCCGACAGCATCACTTGGAACTGCAAGCGCCAGCGCACGCGCCTCCTCCTTCAGTCACTATTTATTCCGGGCGCGTCCACTGCTAAGGTCAATAGTCCCGTGAGTGTAGTGCATGTGTTTTCCCCTTCGGAAGGTGGTGGTGGAGATCTTCCCCCCGCTGGATATGGACATACGTCCACTTGCGGACTATTTTCCCCAACCAGGTATCTCCCTCCAGCTGGGCACCGTCCCAGGCGAGGCAAGCTCTAAGCTCCCGACCGGTCTCCCGGCATGTGTGGTAGTGTAGTGCTTGTTAATGGAAGTGTCTGTAAAGGCTGAGGATAGGACAAGAGGTACGACAGATCTCGTGCTTTCCGTGACCCGTTTGACTGGAACTATATATTTTTCTCACCAGTTTTTATATCGTTCTTTCGAATGATCTATTTCTAGAATTTCAGCAGAAGAAAAGTTCAATCCAGATGAACCAATCACACAAATCTCTCATTATGATCGTTAAAAGTGGTGTTTCTTAGTGTGACCTCAGTGTCAAGACCATGGATTGCTATCTTGTATGTCTGATCAGGCTTGAAGGTGCGAAGGACACTTTCCTCGAAGGCGAGAGTAGCAAGGGCTTCTACATGAAATATTGCCCGTTTAATTCGAAATAACTTGTCAGAAAGTCTAATTTTATACTCAAAATACAAACATATGATACATCATTTTATGCCTCTTTTCATGATCTATGCATTGCTGACAAGAAAAATATATAGTTCCATTTTTAAAAAAAAGAAAGATAATTAAATTTCTTGAAAACTAAAAATATTATAATCAATTTTTCTAGGTCTTGTTACTTGCTTCATGATTCCGCATAGTTAAACGAACACTGCCTTTTGATATCGCGATCCGTTTAGATGTTATGAGGCTGGTCCATAGTTGGTGGGACACATGTATATAATTTTGGCGTACACAATGACTACAGTGTAACATTGAATTATTACTCTCTCAATCTATTTTCGTCACAAATTTGAAATGATTACTAGCGACCAAAATCTTTTGATCGACTGTGTACGTGAAAACACGAAAATAGACGTATGTCTAAAAGTCCGATCGAACAAAGCTCGCCTTGATTTCGGGTTTGGTGAGCTGGCGAATCGTCTTGTGCATCAGCTCCGAGAAGCCAGGGTGCGACCTGTACAGAGCTCCGTCCACGCCGATGGTGACGGTGCTGAAATCCATGTAGTTGAGCAGGGCGGCCATCTCCGCGGACACGATGCGTCCGGCCCGCTGCCACACCATGTAGCACGTGTACTGCAGGTCCGTGCAGTCTTGCGCCCAGGGCATCGGGTAGCCCATCTCGTTGAGGACCGCTCGTGCGGTGCGGTATTGGCCAGGGACTTCACTGCACATATTCCCATTATTATTATTATTATTATTATTATTATTATTATTATTATTATTATTATTATTATTATTACCATTATTATAATCATCGTTAATATGATTAAAACATTAACTGTTACTCAGTCTTGTCCATTGGTAGTAAAATTTATAAATTCACAAAATACAGCAAAACCTGGCATCATAAGAATCTGCTTATAACAGATAATATGAACTATCATGAGTCCCCACATAAATCATCGTATTTTCCCTTCCGCGTATTAAAGTTATGCTTTAAATACTTTCTCGCCCATCGTACACAGAATGTTGATTCCATTGAAAATATTTTTCTTCCAAGAGTTTAAGGCTCAGAAGTCGAAACGAATAATCTTCCATGGTAGCGAGTCGAATGCGTTAATTCTCTAGCGAGCCCTTGGTAAAAGCTGCACAAGAAGGGTTTTCGGACCTCAGAAGAACCCTCCCAGCTTACCTGTGAAATGTGCTGCCATTTTCCCTGTGTTATTTTTTGAAAGGCACTAAGGTGTGCAATCTCTGGCGATAGCTCTTTCAGTCGAAACCATTCATGGTTATGCGAGCGGGAACAATCCATGCTGTGAGGCATTTGACAAAGCGTAAGGCACTTCGTCTTACAATTTATGTCTGAAGCATTGTTTACTTTGCATTCAGCTTTTACACTATCATGGTAATATTAGTGTTTATCGTTTGATGACTGACTCTGCAATTCTTCTCTATTTAGAAAATTACAATTGTGATGGTTCCGAAAAGGAAGAGAATGTTACAACACAAACATTTTCCTTCCTTGCTGTAATAATGTTGTGGTAAAGCTAGATCCAGATTTACCTCCAAGGAACTCAAGCAGTTGCTTATGTTCCATACGGGGTCCCGTTTCCCCATAAAAACAATGATTTGCTCGAACAAAGAGTCGTCAATTTGTAGCCTTCAAATAATTCTTAATCTAATAGTATACTGTCTACGTCCAAAACGTTTATTATTTTTTATTTTTTTTTATTTTTTTATTTTATTTTTTATTATTATTTTTATTATTATAAACGTTTATTACTTATTTTTTATATACTTCATTTTATTAATAATCAAGGATTTTTCGGGGGGGGGGAGTCAATTCGGATTTTGGTGACTGCTGGGTTCCGCAGTACTAGTTTTTTACTAGGATTTACAAGCCCAGCGCACGATAATGAGGACGAAATTCTGAAAGTGTCGCGCAGTCTCGCTAGGCGCGCCATTTCGCCCTTTCCCCAGAGTCATCGCTTTGGTACGGTGATTGTTTCACTTTCCAAACACGGCAACTGCTACAGTCATTAGTCCCGTTAGTGAGGATTTTTCGCGAGAGATGGCAGCTCTCCTTTTCTGCTCGATCGTGAGATATTGCGTCGATCTAAACATCGGCAGAATTTCCCTCTCTAGGAATCTCCCACCAGCCGGTACGAGCTCTAAGCCCTCGTCATATGTGACAGATTAGGTCGTATTAGTGTAAGTGTATGTTAGGAGGGTAGATCAAGGAAGAGGAAGGAAAGATGACGTGCGATGCGGTTGTTAATATTGCTCCGACATTCGCCTGGAATTGATAAGAGAACACGCTCAACTAGAGCAGTCGGTCGCGAGTATTGTCCTCCGAAGAGCGGCTGAATTTCAACTAGCTCCGTCGAAAATCCGCAACCATGGGGCCTGGAACCCTAGGACCTCGGGGTCAGCCACCGCAGTGTCATCCTGGCTCTGTGCAAATCTCGATCGGTCTTTGGCACCAGAAAGTAGTCTTCTACGTGGTGCCGGCCTGGAAGCACTTAGTCGAGTTTATCGGATGTTTTCTCATTGAGGGAGGGGGGAAGGGAGTCTTTACTCTTTGCTGGCGGAAAAACACCTACGAAAACAGGTTATCACAGACGACTCATCATATTATGACTCGCTTGGCTTCCAGATGTTCGAAGAGAATACTCAACCATTCTGGATAAACAGAGTTTTCAAGACGTGCTTCAGAAAGACGTAGCAAGGGTCCCGAAATGAGCTCTACTGCACAATCGCCGGCTTTCTATTACATAATTTTGATTGTCGATTTCCGTCATTCTCTCGGTTTTGTTGTTTTCGCCAAATGTGTTCAAAACATATGCTTTATGTCGTTTTGGCTATTACCATCTCAAACGAATTCGACATCAACATACAAAAGTCATGGAGATGCTAAATACAAACATGCTACTACCAAGTTAGTGTTACTGGACCTACATTTGCATTTTAACTCTTGTGAAATGAAAGATGTTGAGAACAAACGTAATTGTTTAGGATTCTTAGGTGATGTGTATGTTGAGGCTCTATCGATCGTCACAAAAAGTTAAACTTTAAGTAGATGGTTCTATATGGAGTGATCTTACATGTTGTATGCCTAAACTAAACAATATTTTAATCATTTTTTAGTAAAATTGAAGGTTATATTCCAAGAATATTTAGAAATTTCACTTTGGTTATATACGCACGTATCTTACACAATCCTATGATAAATCAGATTTCTGGTATCATATTTCTGTCATGTAATATTTAACATTCAAAAATGAAATCTGAAAATACACAGATATTCAATAAATACTGCCAGGTGTTTTCAGTTCTTACCTGCTTATTGCGTATATTTTTCGTACGAAAGACATGCAAAACCTATTTTTTCTGAAAGAATTGCCTTATTTTCTATTTAGGGCAAAGTTAACCAGAGGGTTTCTTGTAAAAACTCTCTAGAGGTTCTTAATTCAATGCTATAATTTATTATAGATCAGTTGTGAATATTTTTTCCTAATCTAAGAGATGCGATCAATACACCATTGATAAAAAAGTGTATTAATTGTAACAATAAATAACGTTTTACTTTCAACTCATATCCTCTTAATTTATGTATATTTTAAATCATGTATTTTGCTACATTTCAATGCTTTTGTATATTACTGAAAAAAAAAAAAAGAATTATTTCACCCAATGTCCAAGAGTTTAAAAAAAGTAAATATCATCATTGCGTAAACCTAAAGTAACACCCGTGCCCCTATGTAACGCAGCGTCACGCTGCTTCAAGTTCCCTCCCCATCTTCAGCGTTACGTAACGCACGGGCGAACCAATAATCCGTGTACTCGTACGAAGAGAGCTTTTACCGGGCGATGTCGGAGACGAACTTGGTGTCGAAAGCTCCGCTGGTGCCCAAGCGGTCCGACACGCGTCCACTGAAGATGATGCCTCTGGTGGCTGCGGTGAGCAGCACGCGCCGCACCAACTCCCCCAGGTACAAGTTAGAGATCATCTTCTCGCATCTGCACATCCACGGACCCCAAAGCGGTCATCTCAGGGGAGATTCTTACTTCACATTTCTTCTTTTGAACATAAACACATCAATGCCATTCCAGAACCTGGGGAAAACTAATGGGCGAAGGGGGTATTGACGGATCTTACATTAATAATAATAATTAAAAATGCAAAGGAATGTAAGGGAAAATGGATAGTTTGTTATTTTCAGTATTGTATGTTTTAAGACAATCAATAGAATTAATTAATACGTAACCACTCAATTATATTTCATATAATTGTAATTATTGTAATGTTTTATATTGCAAGTACAACGTTTGACATATTATTTCAATCGTTAAAATTATGTGAAATACAATTAACTAGTTAGTAATTAATGATTGCCTCTGATTACCTTAAAACATGACATACTAAAAATAACGGAATTTATTAAAAAACAATCAACATAACTAGTTCACCGTATAATGAAAAAAAAATATATTTGAGAATTAATGAAATGTGTAATTCACAATATAGTACAATATTTTTTGCACGTTTGTGTACAAATATTGTCAGTGAGAGAAGGCAGGAACGCGTATATTGGACATCTTCCGTACTTGCGATCCTCTCCACGGGAACACCGTAGAGCTCTGGATACGCGCAGACCCGTCAACCTGCCCGCCCGCCAGTTTCAGAAAAATTCGGGTCACCCACCCGCATTCATTCGGGTGCCCACATCACACGGGTCGCCCGAATAATGCCGGTCGCCTATAAAACACGGGTCGGCCGTACAATACGGGTGGCGGGTATCATTGGGATTTTTGATAGAGAACAACAAAGGAATTATGTTTAAGATTGTAAAGTTGTCTACTTATGGTCTAGTTACCACATAATAAACTAGACCAACATCTACTACATTGCTCTGAACAAATTTTCCCCGCTTTGATAGAAAAAATAAAGAATAAATCAACGTTTTAATGAACTGTAAGGCAATGCCGGAGTTTTCACGAAGTGTTTACGCATGCCGACGGTTTCGAATCGTTTCTAAATATTTGATCAGGAAAGACGAACCTATCACTTAGGGTTAGGAAAGGTTCTAATAACAAATCATAAACGGTGAAACTAACTTTGCACCCGAGCATATGTAGAGGGAACAAATGACAATGTGTTGACATTCATACCCATATCGTAGCTGCTGTAAAGGCGCGACTCCACTACTTAACATTTCACACCTCTGGCGGCTTATGCTTAGATTGTACGGTTGCACCAGCTCTAGATAATGGAAAAAGATTTTATAACATGTTAGTAGTATATATTTCCCTTTTAACGACATTCAGTATTGCAGCAATATGAAATCATGACGTATCTGAAATCATTTGGAAACAAAGAGCGCCCAACGAACGCTGTCTCCAGCGTCTGGAGCTCTCTCAGACCTTGCACCATATCACGCTCTGGACTTGGCTCTGTTGCTGCGATCACTGCGCACCCTACGCTCCAACATAGGGCCTTCTGACCAGGGGAGGGGGAGGGGGAGGAGGAGGGGGAGGTGGCGCGGCGTCCGAGGGGAATACCAATTTTCTGTCTTTGCCTGACCCTAGCAGCAACACAATTTTATGCGTTGCGCTTGCGTTATGCGTTGCGTTATGCTTTTGCGTGTTATTGAAATTACACAAGTTCATTCAACTATTGACGCTATTGAATGCATTATTTAAATTCTATTTATTTAGAGCTGGTCAGACTTGAGAGGTCATCAGCTGCTAAGGTGTCACACAATGGGGAGCTTACACGTCACTACAGTGACGTCCCTATGGTGACGTTCAACTTCCCGATTGGTTGGCACCGCAACTGCTAATTTACGTCAGGGACAGTTATATTTAAATGCAATTATATGATGTTTGGAAAATTTGTTTTAATTTGAAATGATGTTGTTGATTCAAAATGTAGTACATTTAATGAGTTCTTTGTGTAAAGCTCGCCGTTGTGGAAGAGAGTCCACTTCTGTTTCTGACGGTGGGTGCGAATTTCCAGCTGCAAGTTACAGTTGGAATACAGTTCGTCCGTCATTCAAATAGAGCTACAACCTCCAGTTTGTTGGGGTACCAGCCCCCACTGATACCAACATAGTACATGTATACATGTATCTCCACGCGCAAACGTTATGGTGTCTCCAAAGAACATCATTGACTTTCGATACATTCTAACATGTCATGTAGCATGACGTCATGTCGCATGACGTCATGTAACATGACGTCGATACTTTCTAACATGTTGGCAGGGATTTTGCTGGCAAAAAAGATGGATTCAGATGAACTTAACATTTGAGTTAAGTGAACTTTAATATTTTTAAATATTTTCAGTTGTTACGGACTGTATTGCGATCGCTTGGTGTTACGTTTCCGTCAAGTGCATCCTAGGAGTTGCTGAGCTTAACCCCCACTCCCAGCATGTGTTACATGTTTGCACCCGTTCATTTCAAACAATGCTCCATTTTAGATGCATTATTATATCCTCTGAATGCTTCAATGATTCCCTAGACAATTTCAACATACGAAATGTAAAGACAGAAAATCATAACTGGAAGTGTAGCTTTTGCCATGCAATTTCTCTATTTTACTCAAAGTTTAGTCAACAACATCCGAACTAACGATTGACCCAAGAAAAATAACCGTTATGTAAAAAACTTTAATTTCAACACATTCTAAGTTAACATTTTAAGTGGAGACGCAACAAATTCACATTTAATATGCTTATTTATAAGTGTATGAAAGGTGTGTAACAAATATACATTTCGCATGTTCATGTTCAGTGCATGTAACAAAATAAAAATTTAAATGATGTTGAGCGGAGACGCAGCCTAAAACATATTTTCTTGTTCTGTGATCAGTCGTCCTCTTTTAGGGAGGACAGTCCTCTTTTTGTAGTTTCTGTCCTTCCTCTAAAGGTGTCCTTCTTTTCGATATTTTAAAACTAATATGTTAATCTCTGTATTCAGAGACACCACGCCGAAATATTGCGCATCTTGTGACGGTACAGTTCGGAGATATGCGATTAGTGTTGCTAGATCGGAGGAAATCTCGTGCATCTAGCAACACAGCTTCAGCTTCAATATTGCAGATTTTTTGACATCAATATTGAATGTTGATACTCTAACTGCAGCAGTTTCTGTAAAATTCAAGATGAAGGACAGTTCTTGTTCTGAAGTTTTCAATATATTATTACAAAATGATATATTGAAAAAAAATCTTGGAATAATGCTCGTTTAATTAAATAATTGAAATGAACGTAAGCATAATTAGTGTATTTTTGTTCGAATTAATAAAATGTTTAATTTATTTACGTTGCGTATTACGTTACGTATTTACTTACATTTTTTCGTTCTTCTTATCATAGCGAAAAAATTACTTGTGTCTCGGGAGAGCAAATTGCGGAGCGACGATTGTATGCGAAGACAGCCGAGTCCCTGTCCGTGAGAGTCGCATGGCGAAAAATTTCAAACTTAAATTTGAAACTTACGACCACAAAACATATGTGATAGAAAACTGAATTTATAAATAAAATATTAATATATTAATATTAATTAAATATTAACATTAATTATATAAATGTTAATATAGCATATTGGGTATATTATTTTATTTTTATGTTTTTATAAATTGTTATCATATTCCACATCACATTGATTGAAGTAAATCACGTGATTGATCAAAAATGATTAGACAAACTCAAACAACAAGCGAGCTCAGATCTGTAAAACAAACAGTTCAAATGTTGCAATCATGTCATAGGAGAACCACCAGCGAAAGCTAACGAAATTTGATACCTCAAGAAGTTTGTCTCGACAAAAAACAGAGAAAACTACTACTTCTCTATAGTTTACCCACTGCACAGAAAAAGAAGGATATCGCGATAAATTTTTATGCAAATAATAATCATTTTAAGCCCTCAAAATGATGAAATATACTTCATAAATAAAATTGAATCGTGTACAGTTTTACTGACTTATGTTATTATATTCTATTCATCTCAAATATACTGTAATTCATTTGTATTTTACAGAGTGGATATAGCCCTATTGGGGACACCACTTTAAAAACGCGCCAAACGTTATCTACTTTCAATCAAGTGTGTGGAAATATAACAAATTTATTATGAAATCCATAAAACAATAATATAATTAATACTGCTAATGTAATTTGTGAATCTTATAGTTCATGATTTATTCTTTGCCAATTTTAAAATATATAATTAATATTATTAACATATATTATTATAACATTATATCCAATTACATGCTTAAAATTTCATTAATATTCATATATTAATATTTAGTTATAATTCAGGAAAATGCTAACAATTACAAAAAACATGCAATAATATAACTAATTACTGCTAATTTATTGTAATTCTTATATTCATTACTTTATTCTTTTGCCCATTTCAAAAGATTTAATTATAGTGTTTTCCATCACATATGTTTTGTGGTCATGTTTCAAATTTAAGTTTGAAATTTCCTGCCATGCGACTCTCACTGACAGCGACCGGCTCTCTTCGCATACAATCGTGGCTCCGCAATTTGCTGTCCCGAGACAAAAGTGAAAAAATTGGTCACCTTAATAAGTAGTAAGATATAAAATGTCATTTCATCAAGAACTCGGCTGTAAAATATTCCCGTATTTCTAGTTGAAACAATAGAGGTATGTGTGCGTGAAAACCGATCTACACTTCCTGAGATAAGTTTATCAATTATGCAACCAATACTTCGTGCAAGATGAGACGGTGTGCTTCAAGGAAAAGACTTGAAATCAACACCGATGTACAACCTCCACAGAAATAAATGAAGAGATCTGCAATTGCTAGCTCAGTTAATATCTGTTTTCTTTGATGTTAACTTGGAACTCGTTCCATATTCTCTGGCTACACAGTTATAATCTTGTGTTACGATTGACGAGACCTTTAATTATACATAAAATCTGATTATGTCTCTTTCTTTTTTTGTTGTAAATTTATTATCTTCCCGTTCATTTTACGTTTTTGGAGAGTACGATGTTATATACAATGCATTTATTTGGCCATTCTCAGGCAAATGCGGGTTTCAGCACAATCCTTCACTTAAGATTTCATATTTATATAACTTGACTATGGAAAGTTAGCAATGGAGGGAGGATGTTTGTGGAAAAGGGTGTATAATATTTTATGAATTAGGGTGAGTGAAAGAGATCTTTGGGCAGTCTGGACTTAATACCTGAAGGATAATATGCGTTTGACCAATAAATTTGTTTCGAGAAGCGTAATCTGCGCACCTTTTCTAAGCACCAGAATCCCAAACCAGCCCTTTTCTATACATAGTTCAATGATGAATTCAAATACTAACAAAGCGTGGTTAGAAACATTTGAAAACTAGACATTTTCATACCCTATTAAAACCCGAGTAACACTTATTTACATCGATAAACTAACTACAGATTTTTTATTGCATTGCCAACATGATATCAATCACACGCTTTGCCTCTGTTCCAACCACAACTAGCGAAAGGGTAACTCAATGTTAATGCACTAAAGATCAATGTTCAAATAAATGTTATTTTCCTTCTTGATAGCCCGCATTGTCATAATTTTTATAGACGCGGTTATGCTGACGCTAAAATAGCACTTTGCCAAGCGCGCACCAAGCCCATGTTTTTGTTTCATGAATTGATTGATTGATTGGTGTTTCCGGGCGCGGCAACTGCCATGGTCATTAGTCGCGTACGTGTAGTGCGTGGTTCTGTCACGGGAGGTGGTAATGAATTCCCACCAGGTGGGCACCGCTTCAGCCCCCGCCTGGTCTTCCGACGTGTGTGGCAGGGGAGTGTGTGCGAGTGTAAAAGTGTGGTAGTGAGGGGAGAGGATAGGACAAGAAAGAGGGAGGAAAAGTCAGCTTGTGCAAGGAGCTACCCTTCCCCATACATTCGCCACCGGCTGCGGTGGCTCAGGGCATCAATTGGTGTTCCTAGGGTTCCACGATGTCTCCTTCCTTACACGTACATGCTCCACCACTGGCGCACGTCACGTTCTAGTTGGGAAGGAGCTGTACATGCCACCTTTCACGAAAAACATGCCCTACACTAACGGAAGAAATGCTCGTAGCAGTAGACGCGCACGGCAACACGGCCCAAGCCAAGCAGGGGCCACTCACACGTTGCGCCCCGGGTTGAGCGTGTCGGCGTCCAGCTCGCGGTCCCAGTCGGTGCGCATGAAGTCGATCTGCCCTCCGTCTCCGAAGGCCCCACTCTCCGTGTTGATGATGACGAAGGGCTTGGAGGGGTCGCCCTCGAACTTCTTGACCCTCTCCGTCCTCTCCACGTAGCAGCAGTTGGTGCCGGCGCCTTCGCTCACGGAGCAACAACGCAGGGAACGCAATGTAAGACCAACGCCTCTACACACACTCTCTTCTTCAGACTGCAAATGTAATATTGCTTTGGTATTTCATGCGAAATGTCAGGAAAATGTGATTATTATTTCAAAGTTTTCCAGAAGATTGCCTAAATCTCCTCACGGTGGGACTGTAAAGACTGAGATAACATTTTTTTGAATAACTATATGTATTATGGTTTATTAATACAAATTAAGTTTTAATTAAAATAATTTATCAAGTTCATCAGTTTTGAGACATCCAATAACATATTCTGTAAGGATTCAAAGAAATCAAGTAGTTACAAAAATGTTTTAGTTTAATTGACAACCTACCTATAATGAGTCCTATTCTGCAGTCCGGATCCTTCCAAGCACATGACATAAGAGTTCCTGTCGTGTCATTAAGTACGGCAGCGACATTCACTATGAGACCCTAGAAACGATCACAATCGTAACACTCGTGCCAATACTGCGTTTGAGATTGCACTTGCAAAGATTAATGTTATGAAAGAATAGGAAAACTGTAACAAGAAATTGTTCCTCTATAAAAGCTGCCTCACGTGGATAATTTTCTGGGTAAGTTACCTTCAAACTACTTAAATATTCCTTGTAAGATTTCTGCTCCCTGCATTTTTTATAAACACCAAAATATTGCAAAGAATGTGTGGTATTTTTACTTTCTCTTGCCATTTAACCGTCATTAATTTGACTAGCTATAATTTCGCAAGTTTCAAGAACATTTTCATTATATACTTTATGGATAGAAATGCCTGTTTACATTACTTGCTGCGACATGATTGTTCAATAATTAATGAAACGTAATACACAGTTATTCACCTGACTGTACTCTGAAAGAATTCTTCTTGTCAATGAAACGTTCGGGCGAAATATTTTGCTATGTTGTAGCTTTTCATCACGCAGTGCGGTCCAACAAGTACGAAGGTTGCCTTTTATATTTCAGGATTAGAGAACAAAAACAAATATTAAGCATCGAAAATCACTCTATTGTTTTTCAAAATATTCCCCATGAAGACCATACACTTGCATGCGTTTGAACCAATTGTCGAAGACTTTTTCCACTCCATTGAGGTATCTCCAAAACATGCATTCTGAATGCAGCAACCGCTTCTTCAGGTGTCGAAAAACGTTGACCTCTCAGATTGATTTTGACGTACGGGGAATTAAAAAAAATTAATTCGGTGCCAAGTCAGGACTATACGGCGGATGATTCATCAAATCGATGTTTTGGGTGCTCAAAAATGCAGTTGTTTGGGCACGATGTGTGAGAGCTCGCATTGTCGTGGTGAAGAGTGATCAGTCTTCGGCGGTTGGTTTTCCTGATTTCTTGGAAGACAGCTGTCAAATAAAATTGTTGTTTACCACTAAGAATTGACTGTTCGGCGTTGTTCTAGTGGTACGGTTTGCGACATTGCCGCAACCGTGGCGCGAACAACTTTTGTTGGATTTTACTCATCTTGAAAACCCCATACAGTCGACTGCTGCTTCCTTTCGGGCTCATACGGGTAAATCCATGATTCATCAACTTGTCACGATGTCATAGACGTGTTTCGAAGCATCACGATAGTATTTTTTTGAGCATTTCATTCGACCAATCGACACGACCCTTTTTTTTTGAGCGATTGAAAAATTGTGTGGGATCCAACGCGAACAATGTTTTTTGACAGTCAAATATTCATGCAATATTGAGATGTATGCTGGTCCCACTAATGCCTAAGGTTGTCTCAATCTCACGATAGATCACATGACGATCTTGCAATATCAGTCACAGCATCAATGGTTTTTCGGAAACAACAACTGATTTTGGACGACATCGCGAAATTTGTCTTGGAGTGAACTACGACAACGATTGAATTCACCATACCATCGATAAACACTGGTCCTGATGGAGCTTTATCGCCAAAAAAAGTGAATTTAGTTCATCCATGCACTGTTGCTGAGTTAATGCACATCGAAAGTTGTAAAAAATAATGGCACGAAAATGTTCACGATTTAATTCCATTTTTGGGCCACGATGAATATTTTAAGCTACTGTAAACAACACAAGTAGCGCTCGTATGTCAAAACGTTCTGAGTTCGTATAACCTCAAAACATCCAACTCTACGATAGAGCTGTCAGTTGCCAGATTGCAACACTAAGGTTGCCAAATCCCGAAACATAAAAGGCAATCTTCGTATATCACAAATGCGGTATAACAAAGAACGTATTTGGATTTGAACTATCATATCTGTTTGAAAGTTCAGAATGCGATCAATACGCACTAGATGTATAAGTTTGCAAAGATTCTGCAGATGTCATTGCATATCTTATGGTTAGGCCAACCACAATGCACAAATCCTTCTATAAACTAATGACGCTACAACATCTCAAACGTGGCGTCATTGTAGCGTCGTAGTCCGCATAGCTTTGACGTCAGTCAGCCAAGCGAACAGACGGACGTTTTGCGGTCAATCAATTTTTCGGTATCAAGGTCCCATAAAATATGGGTTCGGCCTACATAGGGTGTAATAAGTAATTTACTGTTTGTGGAAACAAGAAACCTTTTCCTTACTTTTTCGTTACCAGGTCTTGGCAATAAGAGGTTTACTGTCATAACTTTACACCGCACAATTATAATACTTTCTCTTCTCTTCTACTACGAAGTTAGACGATGAAGTAAAAGGATACACACAAGATGAAAGAGTGAATGTACGTTCAAAGCGAGATCGAATATCGCGAATAGTGGCTTCATATAAAAACAAATTTGCGAGGTGTTTTCTAACAAACAACCGACATTTGAATTCCTTGTAAGATATATATGTACTTTATTACTTATTGCTGTATTTAATGTTTATGATCTTTCTAAATTCTTTTATACAGTATAAACATTTTTTCCAAGGGGCAGAAACATGTTTGAATGGCGAATTATTTGTTTTTTTTTTTTTCGTTTTGTGATTTTATTAAATCATTCTATTTGTTATAAATAGCAATAACGTAAAATAAATGAACAAGTCTGCATAAATTAACATTTCTACTTACATTAACAGGCCCCTCTTACAGCCAGAAAGCTTTTTTTATGGGAAAACCGTCTGTTAAACTTCTTAACCTGAACGTTGAAAGTTAAAGCAAGTACTTCACTCTTTAAGCACACGCTATTTCTAAATCAAGATCGATTCGATTCAAAACATTTAATTTCATTCTCAATTGGGAATTTTAAATAAGACTGATATATTTCACTTTAATGGATCGTATTTTAGTGGAGTAAATGTGAATCAATGTAGCTTTGTGGCAATGACTTCTCCAAAACATTGTCATGGTCGTCTATTCACTGACGTACCGCCACACAAATTGTACCACCCTTACTTCGCGGGAGTTGCCCTGGCAGTGGTAGTTGCCCCGCCCTTGACACGGGTGGCATGTACATTACCCCTGGAATGGCAAGCTGAGAGCCTTTTCAAAGTGTGCTTCGGCTGAGTTAGCTCAGAGCCAGCACTGCCCTTCTCAGGTGGTTGTGGCGTTCGAGACACGATAGTGACGATTGTTAGTGATTCCGGGCGCGTCAACTGCTAAGGTCAGTAGTCCCGCAAGTGTAGTGCATTTTCTCTCTAGGAAGGTGGTGGTGGACTTCTTCAGATGGATCCGAAGCCGACCTACCGTCGGCTATAGAACTTATCCCCTACCAGGTACCGCCCATCAGCGCCGCACCACCCCTGTCGGCCCAAGCCTTCAGTTCCCGACCGGTCTCCCAGTATGTGTGGCAGAGAAGTACATGTTAAGTGTAAGTGTGTGTAAAAAACGGGCGAGGATAGGACAAAGGCGAGGGAGGAAAGATCGTGCGCAGTCCGTGGCCCGTTTGGTAGGATACTGCTCCGGCATTCGCCTGGTGTTGATCGGAGAAACCACGGAAAACTACAGATCGGAGCAGCTGGCCGCTAGAATTCTCCAGACAGAAGCCAGTAAGATAAGTCTAGAAAACACAGTTGGTGGTCTTGTACCTGTTTCCTGCGTATGGCGTCTGTCAGCAGCTCCACCACGTTGTGGCCAACTACACCAGAACAGTTGAACCCCTTTGTCCACTGCTTTAAAATGCCGATGCTGAGGCCCCTCTGTTCCACAGGCCAGCCGAACGTGAACCCCAACGGCAGGTTTTGGTTGTGCACCTTGTTCTCGAGGGTAAATTCGAAAAGGCATTCGGCGAGATAATCAAAGAACTGAAATTAAGAAGATTTATTAGAAAGAATATTTCCATCTCCTTTACTAAAACAAAGAGATCCTAGGGGTTCTATTGACATATTGACAAGGGAAGTTTTAGGTACGAATCAACACTTAAATTTGTCTTTCTAGGCTTTATTAGGCACCTGAATAAATGCATCAAATTTAATTCAGTATCAAATTTCGAATGCATGTCTTTGAAATAATATGTTGTGTCAATTTAAATATTTTCATTTTTTGGGTACAGTAAATGTTTAAAAATATGAAGGAATACTTAAGAATCCTGAAATAATGTAAATTATGTACATTTTTTTATTGTCAGAAACATTTTCATACCTTTAAGTACGAACAGTCATGTATCAAGTACGAACAAGTGCGAAAGTCATTCGACATCTCATGTGAATATGTTAGAATGTATTAGTTATAAATAACAAATTTAATTAAATATTTTATTCAACATAAATGAACACATCTTCACAAGAAAACATCATTCGGCGGGTACCTACACCTATAACCTCTAGAAAAATCTTGGTTGCACCATTTTTTGTGAGTTTTCATACGCAAAGAGTAAGTGGAACTGACTTGATCGTTGCTCTTTTCGAATGGTATTTTATCAGCTTCAAAATTCCAAGAATATTGTTACAATATATCATTCGTTCAACTTGATCTGTTGTGGATTTGTTACTACAGTTTTTGAAATAATCAGATATGAAGCGAAACTATAAAATGTATTTTCAATTTTACAAACTTTTATGTAAATTTTAGTGCGGAATACTGATATAAAAGGAGCAGAAACAAGTTAACATAAGTGTGAATTTCACAGGAGAATTATACCCGTCTAAATTAGAATGATTTTCATTCAGTCTTGTAAATAGAAGAAAATTAGCGCAAAACGATAGGTTATGGCCTCACCTGTTCGCCTCTTGCCATTAACAAAATGGGTGGCACCGTGTATACTTTTGCTCGCAGATCAAAATGCCTCTTCGACAGGTTTATGAAGAGCACTCGAAAAGTTAGCCCCGCTATATCAATCGCCAGGAATTTTCCGGTCTCTGCGCATACGAATACACAATACCTTGAAACACCAGTCATACTCACATCGATCTCTGCATTATTGGCAGGCAGTTATTTCCCAAGTTTCCGCTTCGAACTAATTGTTTACCGCCTATTTGTAGTTCTGTTTCCAAGAACTGTTCGTGCAGCTCTTGCGTTCGCACCCTGGACCCTCTTCCGGGCAAAGAAGGGCAAGTTCGGCCCTGGACGTGAATCGGCGCCCTATGCAGAAAACAACATCCTTCAGCTAGGGATGCGACATTGAAGCCGATGTTCTCGAACATCGATTTTTTTTACAGAAATACCGATGTTTTCAACATTGACCTATTGACGACGATGTTCTTTTAACATTGATATTTTGTGTTCGATGATTTTACGTTTTCGATGTTTCGTTCTATGAAAAATTTCCATAATCACAATTTTATAAAAGTTAAAATACTAAATGCTAATATTAGCTAATAATATCATTGTCTGTGTGTGATATACGTAGGATAGAGAAAGTTATGTAATGCTGCGGCAAAACACGGCGATCTTTCGACAGAAAAACTCGTGTTGTTGGGTCTTAATACAGAAAAAGTGGATAAATCTTCTAATATGAAATAAATTACGTAGTCAGATTTTAGAAATTGTGGATCCTTGATACCGAAAAAGAGTTTGTTTTTTTCACAACAACCATCCGTCTGTCCGTTCGTTCGTCTGTCGTCTGTGAACAACACTACCGCCTTGCTTTGGGTAGGATTTTTTCCAAACAGAAAAAAACTCCTGTTGATCTAGCCTCAGTGCAAAGCATTTACTTTTGGAGAGACTTTACAGGTAACCCCTGCAAAAGTTTCAAAATTGTCTCAAAAATGGCTCCAAATTTTTCTTTAAAATTGTTATAAGAATAGAGTTAAATACACTTATAAAGGTAGTATAGGTCCTGGTTTCCGTTAATTTTCGAAAATTGTAAGTGGTGTTTCGAAAATTGCGAAAGGTTGACTTTTTTTGCGACTACCTACAGTTAGAATATTGAAGATAGAGCGTATCCGGGTGGCCGAGATAAGCCAGTAGTGCCGTGAACACCTCGGGCCGAACGATTGTGGGTTCGAGTCCAGCCTCGGACATGATTGTTTGTGAGTTCGTCCATTCACCCCTCATCATCACCATATCACTTATTGTTAGTACAAATTTCAAAAGACCAAATGTATCTCTCTGAAAAATACCTACGTTTGATTTAGGACAAAGTGAAGGTCAGTGTTGAAAACATTTTTTTAAAATAAAATGCAAGATAATGTGTTTTTTGGTTCAAACCAACGATTTTGTTTCAGTTTTCTTTTCACCTTCGTGTTTACTTTCTGGCTTAAAGTTGGGGGAATCTGAAGACATTACAGTAGGATTAAAATGTTTTGTTACTTGATGGTTGGAAGTGGGTGAACGCTTTATGCACTAATGCGGAATACCGTTCACACATATGAAGCAAGGGTTCGCTCTTAGTGAATGCCACTTGTTCTTTCTTCCAAATCACACTCGCCGCTTAGTAATGGACGTCTGAATTGTACTTACATTTTGTTTGTTTCGTTGACTGGTTCACAAACAATACAATTTCGTATCTTCTAACGCTATTTTTACAGAAATCTAATGTACTAAGCATTCTATGTTTCGCGGTTTGGAAGCTGCAATTTTTCAAATGTAAGCTATCTCATATTTTATTTGTCACTTGTAAAATGTATGTAAACTATCAGAACAAATATCACTGCAGTTTTGTTAATTAAAGGCTACAAATAAACATTGAATGCCTCCAATAATCTAATTTGTTTGTTTTTTAATCCCCTTTTTCATCACGTTTAATTTAACTTCTTAATGCTTGGATCGTCAGAATTCATAAAATGGTAAGAATATGTACCTTTTTAAAATGTGAAATAAAAAAATAGGAAAAATTAATAATTTTATATTAAGTCAATATTATCATCTTAAATTAAACCAGGGGCAAAGAACCAACACAAGGAGATAATAATTCATATATAATCATCTAGAACACTGACATATAATACCGTAGAGCCACGAATGCCCTTTCTTAACAACTTTTAAGATTGAATTATTAGAAGTTTCTTGAAATATATTTAATTTAATTTTCATTTTAAAATGAAAAGTGTGTTATTTGTTTGGAAATATTCAGTGAAATATCACAGAAGAAGGTTTAGGAAAAAAATAGTGCAAGGTGTGCTGAGTTGGTGATCTTCCTGCTTGTTACACATTTTTGTCGTGTATGCATGGTATTTTGTGTAAAGTATTGAATTTAGGTGTGCTATAAGTTGTACATTATCTGTTTCTCTGGGTTTTTACTTTCTTGTATCAACTTCCTAGAAAGAGAATGTTATATATGGCTGTAGGAAAAAATGCTGATTTCAAACACCAAAACAATTTTTGTGGGCCTCTAGTATCAAAAATGTTACTTTTTCTTGTCCTTATTTGTAGTAAATTATTTTCTCGAATACGTAAGTATATCGTGTTAATTGGTGGGATGGAGAGATTTTCTGCCACTCCAATTAGATAGAACATTTGAATGTTCAACCTCAACCTCAAAAAGTATTCGAGCATGTAAGAGTTCAACTTTAAAAAGAATTAAAAAGTAGAATTGAATCTCAACCTACTTATTTCTAATTACCTTCGTAAATAAAAAATTCTACATTAGAGAGTCAGTTAGAACCGTAGAAAATCTTCAGAAAAAAATGGAAAATTTAAATTAAAATTTTAAATAAATTTAAATAAAAATTTAAATTTGATTAAGAAAAATAATTATAAAGTCAATTTGTAGAGAATTTTATGATCTTTACAATTGTATACAACCATTTTTGTACATAACCATTGGTTAATCTTAGTGCAAAATTAATAATAATTAAAGTTGTTACGCAAAAATTGTTCAAATATGTCTTGTATTTTGGCCATGAAAACTTTTCCCGAAATATTTAGGGTTATCTTACTAATACCAATATAAACAATATGAAAATATTCTACCTCAACCTTGGCAAGGTAAAATGACTTATCGACTGCACTATTGCACTTTATTGAAAAAGAACGTCTACAGTTATACTGTTTGAAAATGGTTAACAAACTTTTACAACTTGTAAATATTAATCGTTTCAGTATGTAAGAAGAAATGTTAGAATAGATAACAGATTTCCGTCAACACTTAGTTCGCTAAAAAGGGTACAGACGTTAATTAAAATCTTCAAAATCCAACATTGAAGCATCGCAAAATAATTGAAATCTTGGTTCTGATTTAATAACTGCCTGAAAACGCCAAAGTGTTCAGAGAACTTGTCTTGAACTTTAAGAGAATACAAGTTACCTTGCAAAGGCGTGTCGAATAACGTAATCTTCAAGGCCGAACTTGCCCAACTTTGCCATTCTACATTCAGCATGTTTTTCGTGAGATCAAATATGTCCAATGAGTTTATTAAATTGCATATGCAGAAATATAACAAAGATAGTGCAATATGAAGGAAAAAGTTATATTTGTGCTTTTATTTCATTCAGGACGTTTCGTTTGCACCTTCGCGTCTCTGCCCTCCGCCACTTGCATTCCTCCACTTTTCTTGTAAGCCTCCATTTCTCCTTTATCTGTGATTGTCTTCTTGTTCCTGAAAGAATCTGTATTTGTGGCTGCCCAAATGTATTCGCTATCTTTGACTAAGGGCGCGAATGATGAGGGAATGTGCTTTTCGTGAGTACTAGGTATGTGTGTATAGCTTACAGAATTGGCCCAGGGAATGCTATTCCTTCCATGATATTTGCTTCAACTATTTTATGCTCGTATAGAGAACTGAATGTGTTTATTTAAGAACGGTAAATTTTCTATTAACCTAACACAACCATTTTGTAAAGTAACTTAATTATTACGAATTTAATAGGTGCGAAGACGTGCATAAAATGAATATCAATTTTATTAAAATGTATACATTTGCAATCAGTTTATTAAAACAAATGTTATTTCTTCACAGTCCACTATTTAATATAAATATTCTACTATTTATGTAGAAGAAAATTTGCAAACTACCTTGAAAACATCAAAATCAGTTGTTTCCGGGCTTGAAGGCCGTGGTCCAATGGAGACTTGTCCATACGTTTCGCCTGTAACTGTGGCAGGCCAGCAACGCCGCTGATGATGCCTGCCACAGTTGCAGGCGAAACGTATGGACAAGTCTCTATTGGACCACGGCCTTCAAGCCCGGAAACAACTGATTTTGATGTGGAAACCGGCCGTGAAAGCCTACATTGTATATCTTGAAAACGTATGTTTGATTTCACAGGCAAAGGAAATAACTGATAGAATGACTGGTTACTTCTGTTCTTAAAATAACTTGTTACAATTTAGTTTCATTTAAACGTTTTCCAAGGATATTTAGAAAGAAAAGTATGAGAAAAACATCATTGGAACAGAATGGTTTACTACAAGACAAAATAAAAGGAAGGAATAGTAATTTCTAGTATACTACAGTAGAAATAAATAATTTGTAATCAGTAAAGCAATGTTTTAACACGAAAATATAATTGATATATTTTTCTAAAAACAACAAAACTACTTTTTTTACTTCCATAAAAAGTCTTTAATCTAAAGATTGTTCTTCTCTTGTTGTTTGTGAATAACTTCAAATCACAATGGCAGTGACAAAATTACATCCTAAACAATAAAACTTAAGAAAAGGCTATTGATTACACTAGGGAATTAAAAAAAGCATACCTTTAGGACGAAAGTAGGTTGTGTCAAAGGAAACGTTCACGCTGATTTCGAAAATTATCATAAGATTGTATCACGCATGGTTCAAAAAGAATGAACATATTCAGTATTTGAAATAAACAAAGTCCTATTCCAATTTCCGTATTATCACTCCGGTTATATTCTACAAACTTTTATGAGCATGCTTCATACGAGGTAAGAACAGGTTAAAAATGGAATCGCATATTCGTGCAATAATATGCAGACATTAAAATGGTTTGTTGGTATTCTCCACAACATTGATAGAGCGAATTGTAGTGATTTGAGTTTTCCGAAACCCAAGGTTCGTTGTACTAGTGACGCAACGTTGGTGGGCAGCCCATGGTTTCTCCTGATCACAATCTCGACAGCCAAAGTATAAAGAATACCAAGTTTTGTAATTTCGTTTATTTTTTCTTTGAAGTTTTGGTGTAAACGTAACAGAAGTTATCGGGTTGATTCACACACTTTCGATGTGAAATGACGATATGCATTCTATCGAATCGATTCAGTTCTACAGATCACGCGGCGAATTTCACTTTATAAAAACCACATAACTATAATGTATTTGAGGCAAACGCAAACCAGACACGAACTTCACGCGCACTGCGGGTACAGTTCCGCACGACACAGACAAACTCGGAACCCGCCACCCCAACAGTTGAAACTCGAGTACTTGCGCTATGCTACTACTAGGCGAGAGAATAAATAGGGCAATCTTCGAATATAGAAATTAAAAACAAAACAAAAAAGAACGACTAATTATGTTGATATCGCACGAAAGTGGCATAGACGAAGTGAACAAATATTTTATTTTTAAATATATTTTATTCGTATTGATTCTACATATCTTACAAATGAAATTTAAATGCATTTCAATTAATAGAAAAATAAGGTACGATATTCGATATTGTGTAAAGGTAAGTTGTATTTAAAATCTGTGACGTGATAAGACGTATTTATTGTGACAATCGTCACTTACGTATGAAATTGAGTATGTTGCGCTCTCTACCTTCCTGGAGGTAAAAATCTTGTTCCCTGGTGTTATTTCCAGCAGTGATGAACCATGACCAAATCAAATGGGTATCAGCCCAGCCCTTTCAATTTTGATGAATTCTCTCAATTAAATAAAAAGTATAAATACGTATAAATGTTAAAAAATCATTTTATTTTTATTTCTCGGTCTAATATTTGTAATAATAATAATAATAATAATATTAATAATAACAATAACAATAATAATCTGCAAGGGGAAGTCCGTAGAAAGGGAATTATGTAATACTTGTATACTATAATATGCTTAGGATAGATGACGGCCTTTTTACAATTGATAAGAAATCATCGATCACCACAAAACCCTGTAATGTGAAATGAAAATAATTAGTTTTGATAATAATGAGTTTTTCTGTCGAAAATTCGCCGTTTTTCGGCGCACGATTACAATACTGTCTCTTCTTAGGAAGTACGGATGAGAAAGTAAGAAATGAAGTTTGCAGAATATGTCATAAAAACAGATTACTCTAACGTTCATTATAATCCCGCTTAGCTCGGAAACGATTCGTCGTAAGACCTTAAAATGAAGTTTTTGTAACCCGAAGTATACCAAGTTTTGTGTGGACAGGTGAGGTCTGTGAGCAAATAAGTTTTGAAGTTTATGGGCATGTGGGGATGTGATGAGGGAACGGGGATAAGTGGGGGGCCAATGGGACTCGAATTGTGTTTCCTAAGCAGTATTCTACAAAATGATATCTTTTTGAACTTTCAATTACAGTTTTAGAATGGTTGGCAACTATTAGTTGCTCTCACACAGTCTTGGACTTATATTGCTGTAACGCACAGTTTCGTAGTCGCGTTCTCGACACTGGAAACCGAAAAGTGCATTTTTCTGCCCCTAAATGTAGAGTGACTTCCTTCCTTCAATAGGTAGAGTAGTGAGAATCCACGATTTGTGGATCCTTGATTCCGAACAAATGAGTTTCAATAAAACGTTTTCCACTGGCGCCAAGACTGAGCAAGTCCTTGCTCTGATTGTGGATAGCCGATGAGAGAGTATTGATAAAGCGGCAAACCATAGGCACATTAGTCAGGTTTGCATATGGGAACGCCCAATGAATTGGCGAAAGACAACGCGCATCTGTATACCGCCACACAAGCTCTTCAAAATTTGTATTTCGAGGTGTCAGAACATCCTGCATACAGTTCCGATCTTTTAGTGTCTAACTGACGTGTTTGGTCCACTTGCAAATGCTTTCAAAGGATCAAGATTTGCCTCCGACCTACAAGTGAGGAAACAGTTCCTACGTACTCGTAAATGACTTGTTGCTAAATTGAAAAACTTTTTTTGTTATGAGTGTCGGAAAGCTGGTGCTATTGTGAGCCAGAGGCATTGAAAAGCATAGTGCCTAGTGCCAGTGCCATTGAAAAATAGTCTCAGTGTAGATTTTATACTCATGCTGTAATCAGTTATAAACAATGAGTGCAGATACTTCTTGACTTACACTAGTATTTCGTAAGTGAAGTGGTTGTTTGTTGTTTTTTTTTCATTGTGAGATTGAGGGTTTTGCTGAGACCACAGATCGAAGCAAAAATGCGATCTTGATCATGAAAAAAAAAACAACCACTTCATGTACTTTAATTGAAAATATTGACGCTTTCTACTTTTTTACAAAGCTAGTTTCGTTCTCTCTGCCGCCCCTTTATTTATTTACATACACTTAAGGCATTTAAGAAGTATATAAGGAAGTAAGTATTTATGATCGTTTTTGTGTTCTAGTACTATTTTCCACGGATTATTCATTTATCAGATCTGATAAGGAATTATGCATACACAATTATCCAGAATCTCACAACGTGTGTGTTGACGATGAATCTGCACATGGTTGTGTTAGCGAATGTGACGAAGTTGGTAGATATAGATTTTATTTTGCTATCCGTAAATATTTGCGAATAAAAGGTGACTTACCATTGCCGGACGGGAGGTCTTGCACGTACGTTATAAAACACTTCAAAGACGATTTTTTCTCGGTCTTTTCATCTAGTCCGAGCTTTATGTCCCTTTGATAAATCTTTATCATTTTCTTCAGCACGTCATTGTCTAGATTAAGCTCTTTCAGGAAGTCTGCTAACTGGAACACATCATCACTTCGGTTAGCGGCACAAAAGTATTTTTCCTAATAGACCAGTGGACGAGTAGTACACTTGCATTACTCATTCTCTTTGTCGCATCGTACCGCAGGAGTAGGTCTAAATCCTGCCATTGCCGTCAACAATTTGCTTTATTCCAAGCATAATCACGTAAAAATGATAATTCTGGTATTCATTCCACTTTGACGTAGGAATTTTCCTGAATACATTCATCATTGACAAATGACGAGCAACTACAAGAATGCCGTCTGATTTTCTTGTTAATTGTTACGCATGGATAAAATATTTTTGTTCATGTTTTTCAATATCTAGAAATAAATAATCAGCAGCCTTTGTCTCGTTTCGTACCTGTAAAATGTTGACGGACCGTGTCCAAGAGCTTACGCTTATGCTTATGATATCTGTGCTTATGCCATATCGCAATAAAACGTTTTGAACTTCATAAATCTATTTATTTACTTACGTCAAAAGCAGATAATGTTTTCATAATTCCGTGATCCCTACCCTAAGCCATACACTAGATAAATTTTGAATAAAGAAAGAAACTCGTGTTTTTTGCAAGGATTGTTAACAAAATATTCGCTCTGATCTATTTTCATATATTTTCTATCTATTTTCAAGGGTAAAATAGGCTGTAGATTTGGTCTCTTACCCCCACCATTGACACATCCCTCACTAGATATATCAATGGCATTATTAATTAACATAAAATGCAATAGTGACTCAGTTCGAAGTATTGGTAGCCTGGGGCGAAAAGAAAAGAGTACTTACTACATTTACAAAGGAGACATTTGGTCGACGAAGTGAGCACATCATAAAATTGATAGTCACTGTCGTGAGCACATGAAAGTCTAGCTAGAACGTTTAACTGTTGTGAATGATAAATCTTGAGTAGTGATTTCCACCTCAGACATTCGTAAATAATTATTTATATGAGCATTGTATGTTGTTTAACATCAGATTTAAGCTATTAAAGAGGTCCAGAACTTCAACATCAAGTCAGATGTCTGGTGGTAGACAGGAATCTTCGTGTAGCTTCAACAACGCGGACTACGAGGACGACATCACTTTCATAAATTGGAAATGACACGAAAAAACGACTTGCTAGATAGTCGAAAAGGATTATTTCCAAAGAAGTTAACAGACAATATTTTTCATTCAAATAAAGGCATTTTAATTAACAAAATAAAAGGTAAATCTGATGGCATTACAAATAAAGATCAAGTACAATACTGTAAATTATGGAGGCAAAAGTAAAAATAAATAATGTAATTGTGTTATCAAAAGATAAAAGCTTATTTTTATTAATAGATAGTCTGCAGAGAAACAAGATTATGTTCTTCAAAATAATTATTTTTCAGCATTACCTACGCCGTACAGGATGGGACGCCAGCCCATATGTAAAGAACATAGGAGTCGGGCATCAATAAATCATCAAGTTCAGAATTGCAAACATATTTCACATTGGTTTGCACAAAGTCGGGCACATTCTTATAATAATTTACGAATATTACATTACAAAATATTTATATTTTAAAAATTGCTTCATCACGTCCTTCGTGAAGAAATGATATTGCCTGCCGATACATGGAGAGTCATAATATGAATAAGAAGTGTATTTCCCACTGAATTTTAGAAGACGTGCACATTTATGTCCAGAAGCGAAACAAGGGGACATCTATTTTAATAAGGTAGTTGATAACTTATACTGCGTGCTAATAATAATAATAATAATAATAATAATAATAATAATAACAATAACAATAATAATAATATAATAACAATAAATAGGGAACTTAATTTACTGTAATAGGAAAAGCAAATATGAAATACGTATACATATGTATTTATTTTTTCCTGAACATGTTAGAAAAATGGAAAATATATCTTCTTCTTCCCGACAGGATTCGGGTCATGTGACCTGTTCCCGCACCTATTTTTCTTCTCGGTCTACCAATGTCGCTTCTTCCTTCGGTTTTACAGTTTTCTATACTTCTTTTGTAGATCTATTTAGGGACTTCATGACTTTGTACGCTTAATATTGCCTTCCATGTACATCATGTTCAATATTTGAAATAAATATTTCCCAAGATGTCTTGGGGGCTTTCTTTATTGCATTTTTTTCTTGATTTCTTGCGATGTGGTACTCTTGTTTATTAACGTGTGTTGGGTTGCTTAGATATTTATTATAACATATTTTCTTTATTCTAACCAATTCTTCTATTTCTGTCGACCAAATTTATAATCTTCTTTTACTACTCGTTTTCTTTTTCATCCCCAGGGCTTCCTTAGCAGCCTTCGTCAGAAACATTTTCAATTAACCCCACATTTCTTCCACGTTGTTACTTAAAGGATTTAAATGCAAGTGTTGTTTCAGTCTACGGTGGTACAATTCCCTTTTGCTTTGATCTTCTAGAACTTGTAAACTTTCTCTTTATCAGCAACTGGAGAGTTTTTCTTTGCTTTTCGCCATCTTCGGTACATTTTGTTGCGAGAAACTACTAAATATGCTCTGAGGAGACGTCATAACCTCTCAACACATTTGTTTCTATTACTTGCTTTGTTATTCTCTGGTTTATCTAATTCTATTCTCTGGATTATATAATCAATTAAGGATCTGCAGTTTTCATTGATCCAAGTAAACTTGTGAATTAGTTTCTTGCGGGAAAAAGGTGTTTGTTACTTTTAAGTTGTTTAAAACTGCGAATTCTCGAAGTTTCATTCCATTATTATTTATTGTTTCTTCTCCGAATGTTCCTATATAGTCATGGACGGCTTTGTTTCCCACTCTGGCATTCACATCTCCTATGATGAGTACTTCGCTTTTTTGATTGTATTGGTATATGGTCTTGTGGAGTGTGAAGTAAAAACTGTGTTTCCTCTTCCAGTTCTTTCGACCGTCCTTCCACTGGAGCATAAGCACCTATGATGACTAGGTGTCCGCGATCATGCCTTACACTGATTGTGACAATTCTATCGTTCACATATTAGTATTCTCTAATCTTTGGTTCCCATTTTTACCTACAAATATTGCTACTCCTTTTGAAGCTTTTATTTTCCTCTACACCATGTAGAACATTGTATAATTCCCTACATGTTTTGAGCCTTTTAATTTTTTCTTTGTTTCAGTCTCTACGCCATTGTTTATCTTTTGCTCTTCCAGTATTCTAGTTAACATTCCAAGTCGCTAATCAAAGTATCCGCTATTCATTTATTCTTGTCCATTTTCTGTGCTTGGTTCGTGATTGTTTCCGAGGTTTCTTCGGGTGCTGCAAGCATATTTAGATTTTATATTGACGGGATACTGAAGCGACGCACAACCCCCAACCTGGAGGACCAGAGCATTTTATGCAGGGTTGTCTCTCCCTTAGACTGACTGCTTCCACCATAGCTCAAGGAGTTCAGCCTGCCCCTTTTCAGCCCTTTAGAAGAGTTTTAGTTCTCAAGGCGAGGTATCCAACCCCCCTCTGTCCGCTCATCCCATAGGAAAAGTAGTATGAGAAGGGAATATTTAGGATAGGTACTGAAAGCTTCCAAGTTACTCAATTCACCTGTTAGTTCTATTTATTCTTTATAGTGATTAAATTTGCTTTTATACAAGCATTTTCCGAGCACTCAACGTTGTCGATCAGATCTTAACTTGGATTTGGAAGGGCTGAGAGTCCTACCTCAACATTTTCAACTCACATTAGAGTTTTATTCAAAATATAAAATATTGTTTAAAGAGACGGCGCTAAAGTGAACGGTAGTACTGTTGTTTATTTATTTTATTTATTCTATTTACGTCAAAACAGTTAAAAACCGTGTGTTACGTCCTATGGGGAGAAGTTTATTTGAAGTTACATTTATATTCAGAAGCAAAACAAGGGGCCATCTTAGCATTTGCTCGAGGATCAGGGAGACTGGACGGAAACCTGATGGAGATGGGGGTCATTGACCCAGGAGCTGAAGTACAATACTTGTTATAGATTCTTTACAATTATACAATCCAAATTATATATAATACATTAAATGTCATTTTTTAAATTAATATTACTTTCCTTTTGATGCTTTGTATAGTCTCTAATTGTATAGAGACAGTTGTGCAGCAGAAAATATTTTACTTGGGACATAAACTTTTGTATCGTGTTTAATCGTTTAATGTCATCTAGCAAGGTGTTGTACCGTGTAGCCAATGATGAATCCTGGAGGAGGAGGGGGTTAAATCGAACAAACACCCCTCCAAGTCCAACAATTCGTTGACACAAATATCTGTTAAAACTATTTGATAGTTTTTGATCAAATTACACATGGGCTCTATCAAACACGAGCATACACGCGGGTGGTTGAAATTACTTTTGCTCTACAAACAACCTCTCATTCTTGATTTCGAGAACGTTATTTTCAAGAAGTGGGGGGGGGCGTTAACAAAAATAGTATTGTTAAATGCAAATATCTTGTGGCTGTAAAAATATGTATTTACATGAAAATCTATTACCTAATTATGAATAATGTCTAATATGCAAAAACCCAATACATTGAAACATACCTTCAAAATGTAATCATTTTTATACAAATTACATTTTAATTTAATATTATTCTTGTATTAACAGAATTTTAAATTAATACTCTTTCTCTTTTAATTAATGCAACATTATATTGGTTATATTAAATTGTCTATTAATAATAAACTGGAGTACAAAACATGTAATTTCCAAAACTGTTGAAAGGAGGCTTTGGGAATTGATGTCTGTGCAGGAAGCAGTGAAGGAGCTATATCAGAAATCAAACAAAATTAGCTCACAAATTACAATCTTATTATTAGTGCTGAAATCAGTATTTTTTATGGGTCCACTTTAAGTGAAGAATTGATAAGAGTGCAAACTTGATGTTTACTTGTAAAGAATTTTTAAAATTTAAAATATATTTTTATAGCTATTTATAATGTATTTAATTTAGATTTTGAATCACTTCGTAATCACAGAAAATATAATGTAATATA